AAAACATGCTTCTTTAATATATATAGACACTGTTCAAAAGTTTTGGTTTGGTCTGTACGATTTTTTTTAATGTTTTCGACAAAATAAATAAATAATAAACTTAGGCTGCATTTATTTGATAAAAATACAATAAAATATACATATATACAGGTGCATCTCAATAAATTAGAATGTCGTGGAAAAAAAAATTTTTTTTTATTGGTCTTATGGAGTATTCTAATTTGTTGAGATAGTGAATTGGTGGGTTTTTGTTAAATGTGAGCCAAAATCATCACAATTAAAAGAACCAAAGACTTAAACTACTTCAGTCTGTGTGCACTGAATTTATTTAATACACGAGTTTCACAATTTGAGTTGAATTACTGAAATAAATGAACTTTTCCACAACATTATAATTTATTGAGATGCACCTGTATAATATGTATAATATCTAGCATGCACAAATATTAGAATTAAAATGTAAATTATTCCTGTGATGCAAAGCTGAATTTTCAGTTGAATCAGAATTTTCAATTGTCACGTAATCTTTCAGAAATCATTCTGATTTGCTGCCCAAAAATAGCTGCTATTATCAGTGTTGAAATCACTTGTGCTGCTTAATTCTTTTGATAAAAAACCACAATAATATTATAAATTACTTTACTGTCCCTTTGATTGATTGAATGCATCCCTGTTGTATAAAAAATCTTACTGTTCCCAAACATTTCCAGTAAAATGTATATAACAGCTTACAGGTTATACTGTCCTATTGTGAATATCTTAGCATTTACAGTGCACATCCTCCACCCCTGTCAGTATCGACAGGTTCCTGTTACATGCTATAATTTATTATAGTTTATGCTACAGGCACAATGCATAACTACAGTTATACTTTAATTAGGGCCCTTCCTATTTTAATTGTGTGTAAAGCCAGCAGCTGCTGCCATTATAAAGGAAATAGTAACCCTTAGGGTGTATGTCTCTCTATATACAATAGCACAATATGTTATATTCAAGACAAACCAGTCCAATTTTCTCTACCAGAATATTAAGCCTAAATTGGTAGCTGTGTTTTGGGTTGGGTTACACTTTATTTCGATTGTCCACTTTTCTAAAACTAACTAATTTGCAACAACATTTGAACTAACTGTCATTAGAGTATTAGTAGACTGTTAGGTTAGGGTTAGGGCTAGTAAAAAAGTTGACGTGTTTTTGCAAAGTTACTTATAGTCTGCAGAATGTGTGTTGGGGGAGCATCAAAATAAGCACAGTCTACTAATACTCTAATGACTGCTAGTTGACTTAAAAAGTTACTAGAATGTCTAAAGTGGACTATCAAAATAAAGTGTTACCATAATGGCAGGAATATATGATTTTTTGCCCCGACTTACAGTCTGGAGAAGCTGACGAAAGTTGCCAAAAGTCAGAGCCAGTCTGCAGATTTGATATGACAGATTTCAGAGAAAGTTGCAGACTCAGATTTTTTTTTTAGCTTCAGATTTTGATTTCATTCAGTTGGAGGATATAAAAAAAAAATTATATTTTGAGCATATTTTAGAACACATATTGTTTTAATTTGTCAAAATCGGTAAGTGTATGATACCCATTTTTTATTTATTTTTTTTAATCTGTTTAGTGTATTCCAGCCTAAACTTGTTTCTAGCTGGTTGATGACTCACAATATTCCAACAACCAACTTGACCGTCTGAAGCTGAGACCCGTTGATGTAGATGGTTTGTTGATGCTCCAAAGTAATATACCAATTTGGACAGACCCATGTTGCTTCGCATGTTCCACTTTGCCACAGCTAAAGGCATAACTGCCATAAATACCATCTGAACCCAGAAAGTCTCTCTCTTCATTGATGGCCATTTGCAAATTATTCTTACAACAATGGAAAATGGATTTTCCAGCACTGACATGCTCCATCAGGTCAGTGCTTTGATTTAACATGCTCAAAAGCACACAAAATGAATGATTGTCACATAGCATCACCTGGTGGCTAAACACCTCTACTGTGGCATCAGGCACACTCATGTACTGTACACGGCAACTGCCATGAACTCATTCTTATATGCCTACACCATATTCTGTGTCTACAAGCACCTCCCTCTGTCCTCAGATTTGAGACTGATTTTCGGTGCCTTTCATTTATTTGTTTCTCATCATGCATGTCTGAGCAGTTGTTTGATAGTAGTGTACCGAGGAAGCGTTTTTTTTTTTTTTATCCAAACACACCCATTGAGTTGCACCCTAAATCTAATAATGAATCACTGCGACACCTGTTCACACTGGTCTGTGATCAATGACCTGCGTCTGTTCACATTAAACTATGTGTCAGGTTTACTTCTGCTGAAGGAATAGTTCAGCTAAAAATTGTCATCATTTACACAAACCCATGACTTAATAATGCATCACTTACGCCAAACACGTATCACACTAGAAGTTGCGTAGTGCATATTTACATAATACAAGCTCTTACCAGATATAAAATAAAAGTATTAATAATAGTATAAACAGATATATAATATAAAGAATTCATGACAGTAGATATCTTTTCAGTCATCTGAATCTGATATCTTTATGCTGTCATAGGAATGTACCTGAGCCCTCATAAAGATAGGCCTACGTCAAGATGAGAAGATGATATACTCAAGAATGCTGCTTTACCAGATGTAGAACCCTCCATGTAAATCGATTTTTTTAGAGACTGACAAAAGGGTCTGAATGACACTAGGTGATACTGATGTGATCTGAATGATGCTAAATGGTCTGACAGATGCACTTGTGAATTTTTAAATTGTGATTTATAAATGTATGATTGTCACATTACATGTTTGTACTGAAAATGACATAAATGAATGGTGTTATAAATAAACAACAGAAAAGAAGAGAGAATTATGGATATTTTGTGACTTTTGTGAACAACACATTAGTAAAGAAGGAGATTAGAGTGAACCAATGAGCTCAGTTACATGAGAAGAAAATATTTAAGTTGTTATCAGTTTAAACATCATGAACTTCTGATATGAAACCACACATTCGACACACCCTCCTCATAAAAAAACACACATGCTTGTTTACCTTTTGAACCTACTAGTGTTGGTGCACACAGTCGGGTGTTCAGGTATTTCACATTTGTAATTGAGAAGCGGTTTTTACCCAGGTTATGAAACACTGCTCTGGAGCAGGGTTAGCAGCGCTTTGGCTTATTAACTCCGCATTGCGGTGTCAGACTAGTACAGTGTGAAACGATGCGGTGTTAGAATGTTGGGACTAGATGCTTAGCAACCGACAGCCAAAGGCGTGGCTCATATTCTCTTGCTTTGGACAGTCACGGCGACACCGCCTCACCGGCCGAGTGGAAAATGTCAAATAGTGATGGAAAACACGTGAATTGGATTGTAGAAGGGGTTAATTTCATCTTACCTTTTTCCACCTTTTTCTTCAACGCAGAAGTAAGCCTATGGGCAAGACTTCTGGTTCATTAGCCACTATAGGGAAATAACGAGAAGAATAACAACATGCAGTAAACAGTAAAACTGTTTGCACTACAAACCAGTGTGTTCAAAATTAAGATAATACATTAAAGGGGAGACCGATTAGTTTTGTAAAAATCGACGCGTTTCAGAAAGGCGGGGCATAGAGGAGAAACAATAATGTACAGTATGTGGAAAATAATGTGTTTTTGAACCTTAAACCGCATAAACACATTTCATTACACCAAATACACAAAATAATGTTCTTTTTAGCAGCATCATATGACCCCTTTAAAATAATATGGAAAGGCAAACTAGTTTTCAATATCAAGCAGCAAAACGAGCTGTTTTGTACAGCTAAAAATAGCTGGACACGGATGAGACCGGAAGCTAGACCCATAGAAATTACAAATGGCTGCGCCTGCTTTTACGGAAAGAAAAAGGTGGATATTTCACCAAAAAGTCCATTCAGCAGTGCTAGTGCCGTTATAAACATGTTACGCACATGTCTGTATTCGTCCAATCAATGACACTGACACAGCTAATATGCAAATAAGAATGTTAACCCAGGGTTTAGCAATGTACAGTGTGAAAGGTCAGTGTATGAATATCCAGGATTAACTGTTAACCCTATATGAGCAGAGAGTAACTTGAAATAAGATAACCCAGGCAGGGTGGCAGGGTTAGCACAATTGCTATATTAGGCCAAAACTAGCATTTACCCTCCATCGAAATCGCGTTCCTTTGGGAGTAGGAGATCGCTTTAACCTGTGGACTAGAATGACCCAGAGTTAACCATAATCTCAAGTGTAATAAGCCAAAGTCAAAGACAAATGCCACCATTAAAAAAAAAGAAAATTTAAAATTACCTTGCACTTTTTGTTAATAGCTGTAATATAATAGCCTGCGAGGATGTTTTATGAGAAGATAAATTTAGGCTTAAATGGCCTGTCTTTTAGTGGTAAAAGGAATGGTGTTTAGTCATCTCAGTCAATGAGCACAATTATTAAATAATATACATTATTATTTATTATTCTTTTAATTTCTGCATTATTTCTTGTGCTGATTTAAATACTTTATTAAAGTATGGCTTAAAATTGGCTCTTAAAAAATGTCTATTGCCCTTCCAGTTCTATAATCTTCAGTTTTTTAGCAGTCATTCACTGATTCTGTAGGCCACGATAGGGATCTTTTGTGTTGACATACAACAAGACCTTTGACCATGTGCTACACCTGGGTGTGTTCATTTTTAAAAAGCATTTAGTTCTCAGATTAATGGAAATGTTATGATAAAAATTCTTGATAATTCAGTCCAGGACAAGAAATATCACATTTTGACTTTGAACGGCATAAAAAATGTTGACCTTCAGGTGCTAGAGAACAAGGGTTCATACCCATCTGTTCCTACTAGGAAAGCAAAACATCCACTCCCCTCCCCCATCCTAGGCAGGTATTTAAAGATTTTTTGAAACTGACAAATTCACAGCCAAGCATTTGCTTCTGTGTCTTGTTTCCCACTTCCGTGCTTGAGACCTGAACCAGGACGGCCCTATGTCTTACCCCTCTTCCAGAACCCTAAGTGTATATGGAGGAGCCGGTGGTCGAGGAACCCGGATCTCCTCATCCCCCTCTTCACCAAGGGCCTTCAACCTAGCTGATGGTTTAGACCCGTCCATTGACGAGAAGGCCACCATGCAGAATTTGAATAACCGCCTAGCCTCCTACCTAGAGAAGGTGCGTTCACTGGAGAAGGCCAACGCTGAGCTGGAGCAGAAGATCAGGGAGTGGTATGAAAATCGCCCTGATGTCACATTCGACCACACCATCTTCCTGGACACCATCAAGGACCTGAAGAACAAAGTAAGTTCAGAATGGAGTGAGGAGTTCTGGGTTTTCAGGCAAAGAGGATGACCTGACATGCTATTTGAGGCATGATATGCAGACATGACGTTATTGTACTTCTCTGTACGGTGAAACTAAAAACATAATTTTTTTATTGTCAATAATTAAATAAAGCAAAACTAAAATATAAATACAATTCTAACTTAAAAAAAAACCATTACTGACACTTTGCCTTGTCAACAAATTAAAATATAAGTTTAAGTACTAAAACTAAAACTAAATAGAAATTTTAAAAACTAATAAAAATGACAGAAGCACATAACAACAGTAAATTGAAAATATAAAAAAATCCAAATATTAATACTATAATATTATATAAGTAACACTGACAACAGAACACTAATTGGCTTGTGGCATTTGTATTTGTTTTAGCTCTTAGTTTATATATATATATATATATATATATA